AACCAGCCAAGAGACTTAAGACCCTTGGAGTGGGAGGGATCCTTGGTCTACACAGCTAACCCATGGGTCAACTCTCACTCAGTGCTTCTTCTTTTTTTTTTTTGGAGAGATTTTCGCTATAGGGCGCGTGCACTCGCCAGACAGACAGAGAGAGACAGAGAGACAGAAAGCGAGAAATCACCCCCCAGGGGGGATGGTCACACCGCAATCCCTTCTCCTCCATTCTCCTCTCGGGATCTTGGGCACGCACGCACACGCGCCCAGCGTGAGTTTTAAGCCACCGGGTCTGGGACACGAACTGCGGTCGACTACATGGGAGTCCAGCGACATAGCCATTACGCTAACTGCTTTTTTTTTGAGAGAGATTTTTTTCTTTTTTCTTTTTTTTAAAGATTTATTTATTTATTTATTTTTCAAATTAGGAGTTTTGTCAGAGAGAGAGAGAGCAAGAGAGAGAGCAAGAGCGAGAGTGAGCCACCCAGTCTAGGACTCAAACTGCTGTTGGCCATGTGGAAATTCCAGCACCTTAACTACCACACTACCTGCTGGCCCCAAGAGAGATGTTTTTTTTTCTGTAGAACACGGGCACTTGCCAGAGAGACAGAGAGACACAAAGACAGAAAGAGAGAAATCAACCACACTCGGGGATGGCCATGCTGTAATCTCTTCTCTCAGGATCTTCGGCACACATGCACACACTCCCAGTGTGATTTTTCAAACAGCGAGGTCTGGGACTTGAAACACGGTTGACTACATGGTAGTCCAGCAATGTAACCATTATGCCAGCTGATGGTCCCAAGAAGTTTGAGTTTTAAAAAGTATGCTTTTAACTTTTTAATAGTCTGTGTTTTCAATTTTTTTAATCTTTATCAAATTTATTTTTTATCAAAAAGTTATCTTTCCGCCTTCCTTTTGGCCCGAACTTCCATCTTCCAGTAATTAATAGAAATGACAAATAAAAGGGAAAGAAGAGAAGAGGCACCTAATGTATGTTCCCTAGGCCTTTTAGAAAACATGGAGTGGTTCCTTTGGCAACATATATATGTGAATTTACAAGAAAGATGCTATTGCAGACATCAACGGAATGGGTACTATTCAAAAAGGAATGCCCTACACATGTTAACATGGCAAAACTGGAAGAGTCTACAATGTTACCCAGCATGCCGTTGGCATTATTATAAACAAACAAGTTAAGGGCAAGATTCTTACCAAGAGAATTAATGTGCATATTGAGCATATTAAGCATTCTAAGGACAGAGATAGCTTCCTAAAACATATGAAGAAAAACGATCAGAAAAAGAAGGAAGCCTAAGGAGAAAGGTAACTGGATTCAACTTAAGTGCCAGACTGTTCCACCCAAAAAAGCACACTTTGTGAGAATCAATGGAAAGGAGCCTGAGCCTCTCAATTCCCTATGAATTCACAGCAGGATGGGTGTTAAAAATAATCTATGATCTATTTAAAAATAATAAAATAATAATAATTAAATAAATCTTTTCTATATATTTCTCAAAATTTTCTTTTCCCAATCTATTCAAAATTACTTTCAAAGGAAACTGAAAACCAGGACCAGCAGTTGGTGTAATGGCTATGTCACTGGACTCCCATGTAGTCAACCGCAGTTCGAGTCTGGACCTGGTGACTTAAACTCATGCCAGGTGTGTGTGCATCCATGCCCAAGATCCCGAGAGGAGAATAGAGGAGAAGGGATTGTGGTGTGGCCATCTCCGCAGGGGGTGATTTCTGTCTTTCTGTCTCTCTTTCTAGTGAGCTCATGTACCCTACAGCAAAAACCTCTCAAAAAAAAAAAGGAACTGAAAACCAAGTAAAAGAATTATTTAGCAATGATCTAATACAAATAATTTTGACTTTACAACAGGATTAAGGAAAAATAATTTTTAAAATGTAAATCATTGGGACCAGCAGTTAGCGTAATGGCTATGTCGCTGAACTCCCATGTAGTCGACCGCAGTTCGAGTCCCGGACCTGGAGGATTAAACTCACGCTAGGCGCGTATGCGTGCATGCCCAAGATCCCAAGAGGAGAATGGAGGAGAAGGGATTGCAGCGTGGCCATCCCCCCTGGGGGTGATTTTTCGCTTTCTGTCTCTCTGTCTCTGTCTTTCTGGTGAGCACACGCACCCTATAACAAAAACCTCTCAAAAAAAAAAATGTAAATCATTAATCTTTCAAATTTTAGTTTTTAGGCAATGTGAATGCATAAAGTGAAAAATACATGGTTCTAGGATATACTTTTCTTTAAATACATGAAAATAAAAACAGAAGGTGAATGTAGACCAGCAATATGCCTTCATATAAAGATGATAAAAGACACTTCATGATCTTTGTTGAACAGCTGCTAAAGCAAACATTAAGAAGGCAGAATTTAGGACCAACCTTCCAGTGCAGTGGTTAAGCACTCTGCCTAGGGAGCAGGACATGGCCAACTGAGACTCAAATCCCAGTCCTGGGGGCTTGAAAAGCATGCCGGGCATGTGTAAGCATGCCCAGGATCCTGATGGGATGGAGAAATGAGGGGAGACGGTTGTGATGTGACCCTGCCCTAGTGGAATAAATTTCTCTCTTTCAAGCACACATGCTCTTTGGCAATAAAAAAAATAAAATTAAGGGACCAGCAGTTGGCATAATGGCTATGTCGCTGGACTCCCATACAGTCGACTGCGGATCCAGTCCCAAATCCGGTGGCTTAAACTCACGCTGGGTGCATGCACTTGAGTGCCTAAGATCCTGAGAAGAGAATGGAGAAGAAGGGATTGCAGCGTGGCCATCCCCCCTGAGGGGTGATTTCTCGCTTTCTGTCTATCTCTCTCTGTTTTTCTGGTGAGCGATCATATGCGTCCTATAGAAAAGATATCTAAAAAAAATTAAAATAGGCAGAATTTAGGAAACCGAATAAAATTGTTTGTAATTTTTATTTTCAATGGCAACATTAAAAATCCCAGGAAGTAAGGATGTCTTATTTTCTGAAAAGCTGTTATTCCACCTGGCTTTCATTTCCCTGCCTTGACCATGGAAAATCATTTTTTAAAAATAATTATCTATTTATTTATTTCCATTTGTTATTTTTATTATTTTTTAATTTGACCAGTCAGAGACAGAGAGAGAGAGAAAGGGAAAGCAAGAAAACAAGCTGCCAGGACTAGGACTCAAACTGCGGTTGGCCATGTGGGAATCTAGCACCTTTAACCACCAAGCCACCAGCCAGCGCTGCCCATGGAAACTCTTTAGCAAAGGACAAAAAGAATTAATTTTAACCTATATTCATTCTGTAGAAATCTCCTTATTTGTAATATTTAAAATATTCAAATAAAATACTCAAAATTCTCTTTTATATACTAGAAACTGAGAAAAAGTCCTGCCTACCACAAAAGTGTAATACATGATAAAAACGTTCTTACTAAGTACTTACGCCAGTGTCATGTTGTTGCTGGGATCAAGGCCAACTTCTATAACAGTAGTGCCTTCAATGTCCACTTCTTTACAGGGAGTTGTATTTCGTCCAGTTACCCTGCAGGCCTGATAAAATCCATGTGGTTTCACTCGGCCAGAATCATTGCCCACAAATACTTGTAACACTACTGGTTCATTATGGCCTTCCAGCTAGAACAAGCAGCAGAAACGCTAATTAGCATTTCAAATAATCTAATTGTAAATCAAATATTTAAGACCAAGTTCTATATTTGTAACTGGATTACATTAAATACATAATTTAAATCCTCAAGAAAAAGAAGTAATACATTTTCATAAAGGAGAGCTGGCTAAGTTTCTGCAGAAAACAGTATTTAAAATTCTGTAATAACCACATTTTAATTAAAATTTTAGATGTTAGTGATAAATTATAATATAGTTGTACAAGTAGATGAGAATGAATACACAATTCTGTATGTAGCAATGTGTGTTCCTCAGGACCTATAACCATTACTAACAGGAAAATTCACTAAACTGTGTAAGTAGTATCATCTTCACCATCAAATGAGAGTACATACACTAAATTTTTATTCTACCAAAGTTATTTATGTAGAAAGTGTTTCAAGTGCAGTTCTGTAAGTAAAAGGGAAATGAAGTTTACCTTCACAGTTTATAAACATGCATATAATATCATGAAATCCTGGGCCAAAACACTATGGTCTGAAAAACTGCTAGGTCAAGCCAAGATTATAGATAGTAAAAAGTATCTAGCAAGCCTTCATAAAGTAAATTAGAATTTATATGCTGAAGAATAAAAAAATATTTAAAATAGTGCAAACACTATTTTAAGGCACACACATTTTCAATCCTAATTCTTGATAAAAGTGTATGTTTAAACATGGCAATTGCTGAGACCAGCAGATGGTGTAGTGGTTAGGGCAATGGACTGCCACATGACAAATGGTTGTTAGAGTCCTAGACCCGGTAGCTTGAAACTCATGCTGGGTATGTATGCATGAGTGTCCAAAATCCCAAGAGAACAGAGCAGAGGGGACTGCAGCTTGGCCATCCCCCATGGGGGGTGATTTCTCACTCTCTTTCTCTGTCTCTCCAGCAAGTGCACACACCCTATAGCAAAAATCTCTCTCTAAATTTAAAAAAAAAAAAAAAAACACGGAAACTGCTAATACGGAATGCAGAAAATGACAAAAGAACTTACATAATGCATGCAGTGATTAAAAAAACTTAAGGGAACCAGCAGTTAGCGTGATGGCTATGTCACTGGACTCCCACGTAGTCGACCGCGGTTCACGTCCCGGACCCGGTGGCTTAAAACTCACGCCGGGCGCGTGTGCGTGCGTGCCCAAGATCCCGAGAGGAGAATGGAGGAGAAGGGATTGCGGCGTGACCATCTCCCCTGGGGGGTGATTTCTCGCTTTCTGTCTCTATGTCTCTCTCTGTCTGTCTGGCGAGCGCACGCGCCCTACTGTGAAAATCTCTCCAAAAAAAAAAAAACTTAAGACATCTACCCAGTACGGGTATATCTCTGTGAAATGATATGATGAGATGCATGGAAATAAGCAAATTATTCAACTGTAAATCAGCAGTACTTATAACAATGTCTGGCACATAAAGAAGTATAAAATTGTTTAATAAGGGGGACCAGCAGTTAGCATAATGGTTATGTTGCTGGACTCCCATGTAGTCGACCGCAGTTTGAGTCCCGGACTCGGTGGCTTAAACTCATGCCGGGCGCGTGGGTGTGTGTGCGTGCGTGCGTGCCAAGATCTTGAGAGGAGAATGGAGGAGAAGCGATTGTGGTGTGGCCATCCCCTCTGGGGGGTGATTTCTCACTTTCTATCTCTCTGTCTCTCTC